GTTGCGATCCCATTGCCGGTCCCAGTCCGGTACGGGCGCGACACTGAGGGTTGCGATCCGTTACCGGTCACGAAAAAAGACAAAAAGGAAAAAAAAAATACTATGAGATTAAATAAGATGGTGTTGTTATTTGTTTTAATCTCTAGCATTTTTGATTCTTTCTTAGAATTTCTATCTCTCTGCTTATATGGCCCGTCTGTTTTTGCAGGCCATCTACTTTTTCCACTAGAGCCCTTAGCATATTAATCAGAGTTGATTTAAATTCATGGTCTAATAATTCTGACATTCCTGCCACATCTGGGTCTAGTTCTGATGCTTGCTCTGTCTCTCCACATCTGTATTTTGCCTTTTAGTATGTCTTGTCATTTTGTTGTTGTTGTTGAATGGCAGACATGATGTACGGGGTAAAAGGAACTGCAGTAAATAGGGCTTTAGTGACGTGGTGGTAAGGAGTGGGGGGATGGGAAGTGCTCTCTAGTCCTATTATTAGGTCTTAGTCTTTTAGTGAGCCTGTGCCTCTGGACTGTGAACTTAATAAGTACTTCTTAGTTGTTTTTTTTTTTCCTACCCCCTTAGGTGTGGTGCAGGATTGCTGGAGAGGGCCGGCGTTGGGTATTCCCTTCTCCCTCACATGGGACAGGCTGGAGTAGGGTATTTCTCTTCTCCCAGGTTAGTTAGGTTCTGGAAAAAATCCCCAAGTTAGGCTGTGGTTAAATCGTTTCTCTTGAGGGGAAGCCTTGTTATAAAGAACAGAATGCTTTGGAGTATTTCAGAATGGTTACTTTCCCCTCCCATGAGGGGATTTTTCTTTGATCTTCACTATGAGAACCTGGTCAAGCTCCTGCAGATAAAACACATGAAAATGTGGGAATTCCCTTATGACTGGGATGTATCTCTTAGGCTTGTCCGCACCAAGCTTCCAGCAATTCAGTGGTCATGGTTCAGTTTTTTCTAACCTGGTACTGGTTCCCCCACAGATTTTTGGCTCATGAGTTTCTACTCTGGTGAGTTGTGATTCTCTGTATTCACCTGTCTGTCTCTCTAATTTTGGGGGAAGAAATTTCCCCTGTGACCCCACTTCTCTGACAGATCTAAGAAGAGTTGTTGGTTTTCAGTGTGGCCAGCTTTTCAATTGTTAGGATGGAGTGGCGATTTCTAAGTTCCTTATATGCCAGAACAGAAATTGGAGGTCCTGTTATTCTATTTTAAAAGAAGGGAAATCAAGACACAGTCGGTAGTTGGATTAACTGAATGTTCAGTTAAGTCAACAGCAAGTCAAGGCAGGGCAGGGGCTAGAATCATGGTCCTGTTTACAGGTCTCAGAATAGATCCAGGACTGTGATACTGAATCATCCTTGCATAGCCCAGATAAACACCATTTCATTTTGGTATATCATCTCTTCTGGTACAAATTTTGACAAATTATATACTCCCAGAAAAAAAATAACCACTTTAGCCACCAGGTGTTTAATTTTATCTGAATAGAGTTTTGCAAAGAACTCTTAGGATTACTTTAATTTCCTCTACTTCTACAGCTCTTTTCCCATATTCAATTATAGTATCTTTTATTTGTCCTCCAGCTTTTTTGCTTCTTGAGTCTTCCTAGTGATTTATTTATTGCATATTTTATGTATGTACTCTGCTTATGAATGTGACTAACACTTAAACTAGTAGGGTGGACTTCAGGCACCCATCTAAGTAAAAGATACCTAAAACTAGGACCAAGTAATGGATTCTTTAAGTGATCATTTGGGAGGAATGCGAATTACCTCATTGAGATTCAGCAATAATCATTTCAGGTTGAATATTTGAATGTTCTGATCAGCCACAGGTACTGGAACAAGGTACAGCCAGTATAAGAGGGCAGATTGAGATAAGAATAGAGCAAAGTGTAAAATCTGTTTAGTGACTACTTAAAAATCTGTATTAACTTATTCACATGCTAACTTGTGTTAGTGTTCCTTCATTCTCCTGAAAATTATAGAATTGACTGCTGTCTCATACTGGTGCTTTCTTCCTCTACCTTTCTTATGCCCATCTACAGATATTTATTGAATCCCTATTATATAGGTGCTGCTTAACTGAGTTCTCTATAAAACCTAAGACAGAAAGACCATTATCTGCCCACCAAGTTCTTTCACTAAAGTCATAGATGATGTGTATGTATATACACACACATACTTGTGTCTGCGTGTAAGCACACAAGGGTATTAGATTACTTTAAAAATAAAAATCTAAACTCTCAAACTTTTTAAGGCTTAACTCTGCTACCTCAGTAGAAAAGGAGATTCTCAAGTAGAGGATATTTTCTTCAGATGAAGTGGCTGTCTGTATTCCTCTGATCCTGATGTTTTCTCTCTAACTCTGCTCTGTTCTCTCCACACCCAGACTGTCCTGCAGGAGAAGGAGTAGGAAAAAACGTAGCATGGCTTCCAGTTTTACCTCACTCTCTCATTAAAGACATTGAGTTCTTAAGAGAAGCAGGTTGGGTTAGGGGACAGTGTTGGGTTAGGCTTTCCCTGGAGAGGACATGTGGCCAATAGATCTCAGTTAGAAAATAACATTAGTGTGTAAAGGGTAGAATTTGAGGTTTTATCCGTTTGATGAAATATCTTTTTTTGGTGACTGGCCAGTAAGGGGATCTGGACCCTTGACCTTGGTGTTAACAATTTTTTTATGTAGTATTATTTTTTAGATCTATTTAATATACTGTCAGGAAGAAACAATGGGAAAATTTGGGGGGAGGGGCGCTCAGTTGCTCTTTTGCCAATGCAAGACCATTTTGAAGAAATAAAATCATATCTTCTCTTCTGATGTGTGTGTCTGTGTGTTCTGTGGGTGATGCTTAATACTTTTCATGACACTTGACATCTACTTTTCATTGCTTGTGCACAACAACCATTAAGCATTGTTAGGTGACTTTTCCGAATGTACACGACCAAGTTGGTGTTGGAGCCAGTGGTAGAGTCCAGGTCGTGGGTGTCCTCGTTCTTTTAGCTGTGTGCTAAAATAGTAGGCTGTCTAGTAGTGGGTATGATTTGTCACTTTTGCTCAGGTGAGGCTTTGAGCCAGCTCCAGGCTGGCGGTATTAATATTTCATATCCTCACAGATAAAGAAAGCCAGCGGGAGAAGGAGAAGCTGGAAGCGGAGCTGGCCACTGCCCGTTCTACCAACGAGGACCAAAGGAGACACATCGAAATCCGAGACCAGGCCCTGAGCAATGCCCAGGCCAAGGTGGTGAAGCTGGAAGAAGAGGTAGGGTTTCCTCAGGGAGCATATGAGCCTGATGGTGGGAAAGCTGTGAAATCAAGGGCACTGGGCTCCCCGTTTTGGTGAAGTGGCGGCCACACAATCCCCCAACAGGGAGAGGCTGTCTGCTGCTTCTAGTTACAGCTGTGCTCATGTGAGTGGACTTCGATTTCTTTTCTCATTTCTGCAAGTTCCTTTGTTTTGCTCCACAATAGGAAATCACCAGGGTCAAGGAGCAGTTTCCATTTGCTTCTTCATATAATAAGCTAACCACCTCCCCACTCCAAGTTCTTACTATATACCTAGCCCTGCTTTAAGCCTGTGACATATAAATATATACATACACATGTACATACACACACGCATGCACACATCCCACATACATACATATATATATGTAATTTCTGCCCTTCAAAGATTTATTTTGAAGGGCCAAGCCCGTGGCGCACTCGGGAGAGTGCAGTGCTGGGAGCGCAGCGACGCTCCCGCTACAGGTTCGGATCCTATGTGGGAGTGGCCGGTGCGCTCACTGGCTGAGCGCGCTGTGGGCGACACCACACCAAGGGTTGCGATCCCCTTGCCGGTCACGAAAAAGACAAAAAATAAAAAGCTTTATTTTGAAGAACTAGAAGGTGATTCCATATACTTTAAAGTACTCTAAGAATCTTGAATCAGAACAATCTTTGTCACGTCATGCTCAGTGGGAAGTCAGTCCTTTCTCAGGTCAAAAATGAATCTTGATGGCCATACCTTTAGCTGTTGGACTTATTTGGCAGATTGGTTTTGGCATAGAAGCAGTCTTGGGAGGTCTGGGACAGGATGGGACCCAGGGACAGTTTACAGTTTATGTCAAAAGAATGTACTGGCCAAAAACTGTGCTATGGCTCTTAGTGGCTAGTTTCTAGTATGTAGTTATGTGGTAGGGGAACTTGTCAGTTTTTTGTGTGTGAGGATGGAGCCGTCCTTTGATAATCCCAAGGACCCTAAAACTATTAAGTATATAATCAATATTTATCTGATGAGTCTTTTTTTTTTTTTTTTTTTTTCCCTTTTTTTGTCTTTTTTCGTGACCGGTAACGGGATCGCAACCCTCAGTGTCACGCCCGTACCGCAACCGGCAACGGGATCACAACCCTCGGTGTTGCGCCCGTACTGCGCTCAACCAGTGAGCAGACCAGTCTGTATATGGGATCCGAACCCTCGGCGAGAGCGCCGCCGCGCTCTCAAGCGCCGCACTCTACCGAGTGCACCACCAGGCCAGCCCCTGATGAGTCTTGATGTAGATGTTACTTAATTGTAACACTAAACTGTGTTCATGTGAAATAGAGGGACCTTTGCTGCTGGCTTGTCATTAATTCATCTTGGACATCACTTGTCATTGTACTGGAGTACTACTAACTTACAGATCTTTTGCACTTTAGGGAATGAGTATGTTCCAGCAAAAACTGATGCTAAAGTGTAACTTGGTAAAGAAAATTTCACATCTCACTAACTTCTAAAATTTAAATTATTGTAAGGGGAAAAATAAGCCTTCATTATAACAACTTGAAAGCTTTATGAACTTGGGACATAATAATAGTGTTAGTACCCAAACAGCATTCCAGTTATTGTATGTGAGGTATCTTTCCTGCCTTCATTCATTGCCTGCTTCCTCTCCTTCGGTAAGAATGGTTCTAGTTCCTGGAGATCTGCTGACTTACAGATTTCCTCTGCTTTCTTTTTTGGGTATTAAAATGCTTGTCGGAGTTGGATTGTGGGTTTATACTTCACCAGGAGGTAATGCCATCTAATCCATGGTATCCTTTAGCCTGACTTGCGTAAGTGTTGTATAAAATCAGGCTCATGGCCTGCTGCATCAGTTGTCTACATCAGAAATATGCTAAGTTGCTTAAGGAAAATGGGGAAGCCTTGTATTTGCCCGGCATCCAGTTCTAAGGAGCTTAGCACACCCTTTAGCCTTTTGCTACGCCGTGTGTATTTCCTTCTCTCCTCTTTTTGAAAGGAAATTACAGAGAAAATTACAGGACAGGGTAAGACTGTATTCTTTTAGAGGAGGGAAAACGGAGAGCCCTGCTGAGAAGAGGTAGCTTGCTGGTGGTCACATGGCAAGTCTTGGGTAGAGCCAGGAATAAAACTGATGTCTCATGACTCTTCATTCTCTCTAGACCCTGCTTGCTGCCTGTCTCCGTGTCTGAATCATCCTTTGGTTCAACTCCCAAAAAGAAAATGTGGGTACTTGTTCAGATTTAGTAACCTCTGCATCTTTAATTTTTTTTAAGAAAAATTGCTCTACCCATTGAGTTCCTCTTTTCAAAAGACTATGAGAAGTATGTCCAGACTATTTTGAGACTGGGGTGTATATACAGTCCTGCTGCCTCTCCAGGAAGGGTGCTCACTTAGTTGGAGAGAAATGGCACAAGGACTCTGCAACCATCTTGGTTTGCAATGTCTAAGGGCACAGTGGTAACTGGTTGTTAATTATGAAAATAACATAAGTGTAAGGAGAAGATGTTCATCTTAGTTCCCACTGGGCAGCCCTTGCTGAAACAGTTGCCTTAAATATATTTCTGGCTTCAGACTTCTGAGGCTTTTCTGGGCATTTGTTCCAGAGATTTTTAGTAGTTTTCCAAAGACCTGCCTCCAAATACATAGCGTTACAATTTGAAGAAGTTCTAAATATTGGGCTGGAGTTGAATAATGGCACCTAGTGGCCAGATATCTCAAATGAGCTGATCAATTATTGTTATTTTTTTTTTAGTCCTCATCTAACTTGTACTCTAATTGTTGGGAAATTCTGAATTACTCATTGGAGTTTTACTTTTCCCCATTAGTCCTCACTCTTTCTGGGGTAAAATTTCCAAGTATGGAACATTAGGGAGGTATTTAAGGTAAAGAGGTAGCAGAACAGATCTTCTAATAAGGAGTCTTCACTGTGATTCCTTCACAAAATCAGTGACTATTTCTAAACCGAGAAGGGTATCCACAATAGAAGAGTTATCCCTCTGTCTGTTGGTGATGGCTCAAGTAAGGCCATGTTCGAAGGAGGAGGACATGTTAGATGACCTGCCTATGTCCCATGTAAACAGGTAATTTAGTTATGGCTTGCAAATGGCACCACAAACTGTCCTTTTTCCTTAGGCCTTAGAAGTTTTTTCAGGAAAACCTCTCATCTGTTTAGTAAATCAGAATTAGGGGAACTTTCCTAAATTAGGCCTTTTGTCTGGGTAGTATTTTCTCACCTTTCTAAGTGCAGCATCACTCAGGTAGCTAGTTTTCATTGCATCAAGATGGTCAGGGAAAGATTATGACTACTTTAGTGGTCTGAGGACGCTTGCATTTATTTATGTCTTCCTTTCTACAAAGAGCTCATTTAGATGCTTTTCCTGAAATTCATTCCGTCTTTCTAATCCCATTAAGTCTCATGCCTGTGATTCTCTACAATCACTGTGCTCTAAGCTCTACACAAATGTTGCCTCAGGCTTACAGAGAACTTTCTCCTGCAGTCACAACTTTCATCTTCTTCCAAGTTCAGCACAGATTCTTTCACGGACCCTGCTCTGCTGAATCCAGGGAGGTGTCTGGCTGGTGAGGGGATAGTACTCTAACTAAAAAGCAGACCTGTTTTCTTGGTGAGTCACTGTGATCCAGGCCTTGACACCAGTGTGCAGACCGTGCAGCAGGCAGCCAGACGAGGTAAATGGTGCCTTTTTGTCCTTGCCTTTATCTTTCGGGACACGTAGGTCCTATTGAAGTGGAGGCTCATTAAACTCTAAGTCAAAAGAGCTCTGTGTCCTACAGCAACCATGGTATTCTCCCATTGAAAAAGAGCCTCTCCACCCCCTACCAATTTGACCTCACTGGAGAGTTTGAACGCATGCCTGGCATATTCTCTTATAAGGCTCAAGGCAGCCCAGGCTTCTGGCTGGCTGCTGTCTTATGATCCTGAGTTGAAGCTGCTGCTTGGGTAATTGTTTCAGGGATGGTGGGAAAAAGGCCTTGGCACAATCAAAGGGGGAAGATGCTGCGGGTGGGCTGCTTCCTGATCGGAGTGCAGAGGAAGGGAGAAAGTGGGATGTGGGAGGGCTGGCAGAAAGAACTGGTGAGCCTTATTCTTTGGCTTCAGGCTAGAATGAAAGCCATAGAGTTTCAGGGAGAAGGAGCCCAAGTGTATTTTCCAGAATCCTGTTGCTATTCCACTCAGTTCTCCAAAACTCCATTCGTATTGTTTTATCCCATTTCCATCCTTCTTCTTAAAAGCTGATATTTTGTCTTCTTGCTAGATCCCTTGCTACTTATTTGATTTATCTTTTTGGTTTTAAAGATGTATAATTTTCTGCTATCATACCTATCCACAAAATACCATAACCGATCTTGGAAGATGTCTTAGACATAGACATTTGTATGTCAAATACTCCAAAATCATTTTCAAACAACAACAGAATTTTGTTGGTGAAGGTAAAACTCACACAGTGGTTGTGATGAATTATAGATTTGGATGGGAGACCTGAGAGTATGAATGATGTGTGCATTTAACGTGTTGATAGGATTCAGGTAAAGTACGTATCCACCCAGGAGTCTTCCAGGATGTTCTTCTGATGAATTGTTGATTTATTTGAAGGGCATTTTATCTAAGGATGGCAGATCCCATATTTATGGCAGTGTATTTTCTTTGAAGTGGGTGTTGTTCCCCCCAATATGTTAAAAAAAAAAAAAGAAAGAAATCATGTGCCCGCCCCAAATAGAGATGGAGTGACCTCTTCGAGCTCAATTCTTTCAATCTTTCCTTTGACTTTGGCTTTTGAAATTTCCAGTTGGAAGCCTTATGGATTTCTCTTTAGTCTCCTTTACAACATTAGTTCCATTCCCGAGGTAGCAAGTTTAAGAGGTGGTTTTTTACTCTTCAATTCTTCTAATATCTACCAGCGGACCACAGCCTCTTGGCAATGGGCAGAGGCAGCTTGCTAATACCAGGGTGGTGTTACCAAATTACTTCAGCGTGAACCCTT